TCCCCCAGCCCCAAACTCACCTTCGTGAACTGGGCTGCTGATGCGGGGCTCCTGGACACCCCCAAATCCCCAGGTTCTGCCTGCAGGGTCGCTACAGGGCCTTATAACAGCTTCTGTTATAAGTTTTTAAAGATATATTTTTTATTGATTTCAGAGAGGAAGGGAGAGAGAGAGAAACATCAATGATGAGAGAGAATCATGGATCGGCTGCCTCCTGCAAGCCCCACACTGGGATGGAGACTGCAACCAGGGCCTGTGCCCTGACTGGGAATCGGACTGTGACCTCCTGGTTCATAGGTGGAGGCTCAACCACTGAGCCATGCCTGCTGGGCTTCTAATTACCTTTTTGTTGTTGTTTTATGGACTAGTTTTCTTTCCTGTGACCTATTTGTGTACGATTTACATGCTTAGAAATGTGTTGAAACTGGTGCAGGGCCTGGCACGTGGCCGGCTTTTGTCAATGTTCTGTGTCCTTGTGAAGAATGAATTCCACAGCTGCGGGCTCGGTGCTCCGTGGACGTCCTTCGCGTCATTTCCTAATGAGCACCGGCGGGAAGCGTTTCAACACAACTTCAGTCCAGAGAAGGACAGAACCGCCCAAGAGTGTCACTGGAGCAGGACCGGAGGTGGGGTGGGTGGGGACTTATTTCTGACAGTGTGCCCAGGACAGCACTAAATTATTTAAAAACAATTGCATCAGTTACCAGGAGTGAGAATGCTAACAGCTCAAGTACACAAGCAGCTGCACAAATGTACCGTCAATAGAATGCTAGGACCAACAATGAAGTGGGAGGACCGAGATCGGCGCACCGCTCTCCAACCCCCTCCGCCAGCGGCAGGCCCCTCCCACAGGGCGATTGGGGGGGCGCGGGCACGGGCCATACAGAAGGAGAAATGAACTTGCATGGCTGGCAAGCATCTGAGGGGCTGGGGGGCGGGGGGCGCTTCCGGGTCTGGGTTCCCACTGACATCAGGTTTCTTTCCAGGGGCCTCCGGATGCCTGGAGCAGAAAGAAGGCGCTGGTGCTGGGCGAGTGCCAGGCGGCCCTCAGCCTGCAGCCC